GTTTTGTCATTTATTGCGTGTTTCTCTCACTTTAGTTTTTCTTGTGCTTCCCGTGTGTTTTTCTGCGTTTTCTTTGTTTTTGGTGTATAGGTCCGAAGCTTCGGGAGAACCGAATTATGGGCAAAAGCTGACCATGCAAGTGTAATTATATAGAGGGGTTCGTTGGCTACAAGCAGGAAAAAGCGGAATCGAATTCCGATATCAGACGAGACTGAACAACTCCAAAACGTGAAGTAGTACCAGCCTGCCCAGGCCCGCGCGCGCCGCGCCCCGACGGATGCCACAAGTTCGACAGAGGGTCAGGTCACGCGCGTCGCGCCGCGACAGATCACTTCGCGCGCCGCGGCAGATCACTTCGTCGCGCCGCGACAGATCACTCCATCACGCTGCGCCAGCTTTTCTCCCACGCCGTGACCTGTTGAATATAAATATCAGATCGGGACTCGACATAAAATTATTACCTCCCCTTCTGGGAGATGAACACTAGCCCGTAAAATACACGAAACTTCTTTTCTCTTCATCTCTTCTTCTTCTTCATTTTTCTTCTTCTTTTCATCATTCTCTTCCATTTTTCTTCGTCTTCTTCTTAGTATTTAGGAATTAAGCTTGTATTTTGGATTCAACAACTGGAATTTAGATTTATTGTAAGTTTCTTCTCTCTTTATTAATTCATGATTAATGGTGAATTTGAGAGTAGTGATTATGTGTGTTGAATTCGTTATACGTAGCTAATTCTGATTGCTAGGGATAGGGGATGATTATGATCTGGTTTAATTTGTATCTCTCGGTCTTGAATTGTTCGTTCTTGTGTGGGTTGATTTGATTAGGAATTGATGAAATCTTTTTTGATTGATTAATATAATCGAAGAGTGACACTTCGATCTTGTAATTGGAAACGATTAAATGTTGATTAGTCAAGTTAGGATTTTGCTGATTCTAAATGATTAGTTGATTAAACACCTTCTAATTGAATTAGCGATTTTCAGAACCGAAAGGGGAGAAGTCGTAGACCTAGGCTTACATGAGGTAGATTATTTCGTAACTAGAAAATCTATAGGTTTCAGATTGAAATACTTGCGTGTCGATGACCCGTCCCTTGTTACGAAAAGTTATTGGTATTGGAATAGTTGGCCTGTGTTGTATGCTCGAGCTTGTACGTCTATGTTCAATCCATTGTTACGAAGAGTTATTGGGGTGAACCACTAGATGTTTAAGCGAGAGTGTCAATCTCAAACCGAACATTGAATTGCCCGATTTTGCTAGAACTTGAATTAATTGTCCCCGACTCCCTAGCTCCTTCATCCTTGTTTTGTTTCCATTTTTAAATAGATTATTATTTTTATATTATTTTTTAGCTGGTAATTATCATATCTTCAGTCGTGATTAGAATGTTTAAGTTTTATTTTCTTTTTATGTGTTATCAATATCAAAGCTAAATTCCAAACCGCCTTCCTCGTGAGATCGACCCGGGGAACGAATCTTTCGATTCGGTATTCGGTAAAAAATAATAATTTGTGCTACAACAAATTTGGCGCCGTTGCCGGAGAAGGCAAGTAGGATATTTGGTTTCGGTATTGATTTTATTTTTTGTGTTTCTCTTTATTTCGTGTTTTTCGTGTTCATGTCATTTGTTTGCATCTTTGTTTTTCTTTTTTTTTTTGGTTTTAGTTTTCTTTCTTTATTCCTTCCTTTTCGTGGCTACGTGTGGTTGTTTTATTTTGGTGTGAAGGACATATAAACTTCAACCATGCTTTTCCCTATCTGCACACCCAACCTTGGGGTTACGAGCCGAGCTATCACGCCGGGTACCACAACCTGTCATATCCGTACTCTTCCGAGCAGTGTTGGGATCCCTACACAGTCGAGGAAACTTATGAGTCCCATGAGTTTAACGAGAAGCTCGACCGTATCTACGCTTTTGCAGCATCCCGGTTAGCTCAGGAAGAAGAGACCGCAGCCCGGTGTGCCCGTCTGAACCAGCCACCTCCTTACCATGATTCTTGAGACTATGGCCAGACTATATCATATCCCTACGAGCAGCAATGGGATTCCTGGCCTGTCGAGCAGTCATATGAGTCCCGCGAGGACTCCTCAGAGTACAATGCCAAGCTCGACCAGACCCTCGCTCTTTTAGCCTCCCAAGCAGGCCCGTAGGAGCAATATCGAGTCCAAAATCGAGAACCTTGTGGAGCGCATGTAAGCCTTAGAGGATCGAGTTAACAGTGTCACTCCGGAGCCCACCGCTCAAGGGGAATCTACACAGAGAAATGAACCTCGGGAGGCCGCTTTGACATACGATGAAAAACTCGATCTCATTCTTGCTTGCATATCTGTCCAGACCACTCGAGATGTGGAGATTGAGCTCAGAAGTGCTCGACTGAGAACGCTATTGGAGATCCTTACAGCACATATCGACTCAATCGAGGCACAAGCCGATGACCCCCACTTTACGCTTGATACTCAAGCTCGTATGATGAAGCAAATGTTGGTGTTATATACTTAAGCTTTGCTTTAGTGGATATTACACTTGTTATTCCTTGATGAATGAGAATTATGTTTGGTTAAATAAGTTCCACGTTCTGTTGTTTTGCATGTAGATAAGTGGGTCGTCATCGGGCATACCGAAGATTACTATATCAGTTACTTGCGAAACAAGAATCGTTGGTTCACAACCTAGATGGAATTGAACATCCCATCGGAACGGTTGTAGTGTCAACCGTACGGTTTGTCTTGACCGATTAGTTGCACTAGTACATTTATGTATTGAACAGGATCCCAGAGAGGGATGTTCGTTTTATACTAATCGTCGTAAACGAACTAGGCCTCGGTTAATTATTGCGTGCTCTTAACCCGTAAGATATTAAATAGGCATGTGCACATAATTGTTGTTGCTTTAATTCATTGGGTGAGATCCAAGCCGGGTCGACATACTTAATGAATTGGGTAATGACA